CTTGGGTAGGTGCTAAGTACTAGTGTTTAAAGCATTGCTTCCCCAGGTAATTTCAGCTTAGACATTTTTTAGAAACTGATATTTACCAGGGTTGGGGCTGAAGGAGACCTTAGGTGACCCGCTCCAATGGCTTCTCTCTCCAATGGGAGACACAGTTAGGTCATGGAACTCATTTAAGTTCATACAGGCATCAATAATTGGAATTTGTTCTCATAATTTCTGACTTCTAAGATTCCTAGACATATTTGTTTGTCTTGGAGAGGGCTCAGTCAGAGTGCTCTTTGGAGGAAAGGATGGCAATGCTTCTCTTCACATACTTGGGGCATGTTGCTGGGAGGGTTTATTCCTTGGAGAAGGTCATGATGCTGGGAAGGGTGGAGGGTCAGCGAGAGAGAGGAAGACCCTTGACCAGGAGGATTGATGCCATGACTGCTGCAAAGTGTCAGGAAGTGTGAGAACAGCACAAGAGAAGACAGGGTTCAGATATTTTGTTCATAGTGTTGCTATGAGTTGTACTTGACTCAACAGCATCTAACAACAACAAGATTTGCTAGGCTTCTAAATGAGCTCCATGAAAATCTCTCACCAAGAAGACATTCAGATAACAAACAAACACATGAAGAAATGTTCAAAATCCCTAGCTCTAAGAAATTCAAATCAAAACAGCTATGAGATATCATCTCACCCCAGTAAGAATAGCAAAAATTTTTTCACTTGAATTTAAGAACCTTTTCTTTTTAAAAAAACAAATTATTTTATTCATTTTAATGAACATTTACAGAGATTTCAGATTTCCATTCATTCATTGTTGTATTTTTCTCCCTACCCACCCCTCCCAGTTTGTTCCTCTCTTTGAAAAGTAAAAGAAAAATTCCTTCATTGATATACAATTCCCCCTTCCCCCCATTCCCGAGTACACTCCACTATACAACCTTCATTCAGGACTCTTGTCATAACCATAATACCCAATCATATATTACTTATAAATTGTGCTCTCTCTCATCTGTTTCAATGCAGTATACATAATTTATCCACTTTTTCTCAGTCTCACCCCAACCCTGATGTCAGTCCTATTCTAAAACAGTGGCACCATGCAGTATTTGTCCTTTTGTGACTGAGATATTTCACTCAGATAATGTCCTCCAGGGTCACCCATTTTGAATAATATTGCATGAGTTCCTTATTTTTCAATGCAGTGTAGTATTCCATTGTGTGAATATGCCATAGCTTCTCTATCCATTTGTTTGTTGATGGGCACTTAGGTTGTTTCCAACTCCTTGCTATTGTGAACAAAGCCCCAATAAATATGGGTGTGCATATATCTGCCTGGGTGGCAGTTATGGTTTCTTTAGGGCATAATCCCAATAATGGAATTGCTGGGTCAAACAGTATTTCTATTTGCAACTTTTTGAGAAAGCGTCATACAGCCTACCAAGAGTAAAAAGGAAAGCCACAAATTGAGAAAAAAAATATTTGGTAATGACATGTAAGATAAGGGACTTATATTTAGAATGCATAAAATACTCGAGCACCACAAGATAAAGGTAAATAACCCAGTTGAAAAATGGGCATAATATATGAACAGACACTTCCCCAAAGAAGACATTCAGATGGCTAACAAATATGTGAAGAAATTCTCAAAATCCCTAGCCCTTAGAGATATGCAAATCAAAACAACTATGAGATATCATCTCACCCCAGTAAGAATAGCAATATTTAACAGAGTAGCAAACAACAAATGCTGGTGAGGTTGTGAAGAATAGCAAAATTTAACAGAACAGAAAACATCAAATGCTAGTGATGCTGTGGAGAAACGGAAACCCTTTTTCACTGTTGGTGGAAGTGTAAAATGGTGCAACCACTGTGGAAGGCTGTATGGCGCTTTCTCAAAAAGTTGCAAATAGAAAAACCATTTGACCCAGCAATTCCACTACTGGGAATTTACCCTAAAGAAACCACAACTGCCACCCAAGCAGATATATGCACACCCATGTTTATTGTGGCTTCGTTCACAATAGCAAAGAGCTGGAAACAATCCAAGTACCCATCACCAAATGAAAGGATAGAGAAGTTGTGGTATATTAATACAATAGAATTCTATGCTGCATTGAAAAACAAGAATTTCATGAAATATTATGCAAGAGAATTGATCCTGGAAGACATTATTCTGAGTGAAATATCTCAGTCACAACAGGGCAAATACTGCATAGGGCCACTGTTGTTGTTTTGTTGGTTTTTTAAAAGTTTTTTTAAAAAATTAATTTTAATGAAAGTTCATAGAGACTTAGGGTTTCCAGTCATTCGCTGTTGCACTTTTCTCCCTGACCTCCCCCATCCACCAAAATGGGACTGACATCAGGGTTGAGGAAAGACAGAGAAGGAAGGTAGGAATGATGTATACTGCATTGAAACAGATGAGGGAAAGAACTGTTTAAAATGGATATATGAATGAGTATTATTGTCATGAGAGGAGTCCAGAATGAAGTCTGAACAGTGAAGTGGACTTGGGGGGGGGGGGAATTGCATAACAGTGACAGAGTTTTTCTTTTACTTTTCAAGGAGAGGAGTGAACTGGGGGGAAGAGGTAGGCAGGGAGAAAAGTGCAACAATGAATGACTGGAAACCCTAAGTCTCTGTAAACTTTCATTAAAATTAATAAAAAAGAAAGAAAAAAAAATGTGTTCAAGAGGGTTTCAGTGGCTGGTTTTTCGGAAGTAGATTGCCAGGCTTTTCTGCTGAGGTCCCATTAGATAGACTTGAGCCTCTAGCATTTCTGTGAGCAGACAGAGATATTAACTCTTTAGATTCCTCAGGGATCCCAAATACCTCATCGTTGTCAGATGTCATTGAGAAATGTTTCATGAAAACACTTCTGACTTGTGATATAAGAAGTTAACCCTCAGTGATGAAATTACCACTCATAGTGATGCTATGAACAATACATCAATGTCTTGTCCTATCCTGTGCCATTCTCATAATCTCTGACATGCCTACGCTATTATTACAGGCATGATCTCAACCCAGATCGTTGAAGACCTTCCTCTCCTTTGCTGATACTAGCCTTCCCAGGATGAAGTCTTTTTCCAAGCACTGGCCTCTCCTGATACCATGCCCAAAGAGTCTGAGAAAAGTTTTACCATCTTTGCCTCTAAGGAGCACCCTGGTTGTATTTCCTCCAAGACAGATTTGTTTATTCTTTCAGCAGTCCATGATATATTCAATACTCTGTCAAAACTACAATCTGAAGACAATTCTTCTTTGATGACCTATAGCCTTCATTTATGCATCCTCCCATTTCCCCTATTCATTAGCCATGCAGTCTGAAAATAATTACTGAACTCGTACTTTAAACCAGATAATGTGTGTTGTGCTGGCCACCGAATTGTGACTAGGACACAGATCTAACTTCACAGAGTTTGCAGTTTAGTCCAGTAAACATTGACACTCGATATTGTAATGGAAAAAATAAATCAAATTTTTTAATATAAATTACAGAAATAAGGTACAGTTTAGAATTGCCGGAATACCATAATGACTAATAATTCTTTTATAATTATGGCTAAAAGTAGTGGTGCTTCAAAATACAAGTTAGACTACTGCACAGAGTTCACAATCTTGTGGAAGATAGATGGTGTCGTCCATAGCTGTGCTGCCACCCAAAGGCCATGTGGCTCCAGTGGTTTGAATCCAGTGTGTTTGAATCCACCAGTGACTCCAATAGAGAAAGTTGATGGTTTCCTCCTGTTGCAATTCACAGCCTTGGAAACCTGATGATCACTATGGTGACCTGAGCGTCAGTATGAGTCCGAGCTGACTCACTAGCAGTGGGTTGAGTTAGAGGGCTGCTTTTTAACCAACAGGTAAAGCTGATCTCTGTCCTAGTATTAATACTTCAGTACAGTCTACTTTTCTATCCTTATCTTGCAAAAGCAGACTTAGTTTGGAAGTCCAACACTGACACTGTTCCTTTGATCACCATGGAAAAGTAATGGGATCTATAGTGGGCTAGGCACATAGGTACGTGGAGTTTAATGAGATATAATCATTGTCTTCAAAAACTATGTAGGGAATGAAGAGGGGAAGGAGAACTAGAATTTTTGAACTTTAACATATGTGTGATCAAAATATATGGACTTTACTGTAAAGCAGTAAAGCATTAATTTTCTCATCTGTAAATTTCAATTTCCTCACCAGGTCCTCAGATATGGGCAGATGTAGAGATAGCTAATATGAGACTGACTGTTTTTGTGGGGTCAAAAGGATTAAACAGATTCTTATAATATTTTACCAGAACTCCAGCCTCCATGGACTACAAAGAAAGGCCTGTTTATAAAGAATTATTACTGATATCATCATTTGGGCTCACCAAAGCACACTAGTAGACTTGGAAACCAAACCACTAACATTGAGTCTTGTCCAACTCATAGTGACTCTCTAGCAAGTTTCTGAGACTAATATCTATGGGAAGAGACATCAAATCCAAGTTTGTGAGATTCAAACCACCAAACTTGGGGTTAGCTAGCCACCAACACATAACCCACACTATGAAACAAGTGTTTTTTAGCTTTAGGAAAAGAAGAAATTATTCTGATCAAAAAATAGCTCATGGATGACATAGCTGAATTGGTTGACAAGTGAATAGGCTTTGGAAGGATGGTGAAAAAGGATGGGGAGAAATGGAAAGGCAATAGGATCTATGGTGGGTCAGGCACATACGTATGTGGAGTTTAATGGGATATAATCATTGTCTTAAAAGACTATGTAGAGAATAAATAGGGGAAAGAGAACTAGCATGTGTGAATATCAATATATGTAATATATAGGCTTTGGGGGTGGGGTTTTTTCTTTTGTTTGTTTCAAAAATTCTTTTTAGTTGGGACCACACACTAACACACACAAAACTGAAGCTGGGGTGAAGATTTAGAATCTGGGTGTATATCCGATTGTCATGTGAACTGTCTTTTAACATCTTGGTATTTTTTTTTCTCTACTTACTACAGGGCTTACCAGTCATGATATAAAGGGTTGCTTTGGAGGCTTCGTTGGCATTGGCACTGTCTTTAAGGATCTTATACAAGTCGAACCAAAACTCTCAGGAGAAAGTTGTAAAAGATTTGGATTTGGAAAAGATGGCAAGTCTCCAGTGATGGGACCCTCAAAAAAAAAAACCAGAAAAGAGAGAGAGAGAGTAAAAGAGAGAGAGAAGCAAGCAAGGCTTTCCCTTAGACTGCAATCAGGATATAAAAAAGCTCCCTAATTCCATTTTAATTTATAATTATATTATTATTGTTGTTGTTGTTAAGTGTTGTAGAGTTGTAGGCAGCCCATAGCGACCCTATGAACGAAAGTCTTGAGCACAAAACTTTCATCTCTTCCCCAAGTTCACAGAGTTTATTGAGACAAGTTTTTCAGGAAATGGATGCCACTCCTGCTTCCAAGCCTGTTTAAAAGCCTTTTTAAATACAAGGTCAAATCCCATCAGCTCACATCCTAATGCAATCAATTGCCACAACCTAGTCTCAACCCCAAACCAGAAAATACACCTTTGCTGAATCAGGCCATTCCACTCATCTTCCCAGCCTGGAAATGGCTCCCATGATTATGCTACATGAACGTTAATTATCTCTAAACCAATGACTTGTAGTGACTCTCTTTTGTGTCCATCCTGAGCTGACATCATCTTGGAAATATTTTCTTTTCATGTGGGTTACTCTCCTAAATTTCAACCAACACTAGACAAAGATCCAGCTAAAAACCGGGACGAAAAGAGTTGGTAAAAAAAAGAGTTGGTGGAGTGAATCTCAAAAGCAGATAATGAAAATGAAGGCTCATCAGGTTATAGTCTGGAGAGAGGAAACAGATCCACGGAGATAGGAAAATATGGTTACCCAAAGTCCAAGTTCAAAGAAGGATTATTAGAGGATTGAATAAGAATGTTTCATAGCATTTCCTGAACAAGTCAAACTTATGTGTTCATTTATTCAATTCATTCATTGAGTGAATCCTTGTTTTCTGGTGAGAAAGAGTAGGTGAGGTAGATATTAAACAGGTATAGGAGTTATTCTTATTGCATGAGGCTACTTTAGGCTCAATATTTTAAGCCAAGTTGCTTTCTTTTTCTGATAGCAGACTTTAAAAGAATTCTGCATCGATGCTATAAACACCCCCTTACCTTTGTGGAAATGGACCTCTAGTGGCATAGCACATTAAAAGTTATCCTTCAAACCAAAACAGGAGCAGTTCAAACTCACCAGCTGCTCCAAAATAAAGAGATGGGCAGTCTCCTCCCTTAAAATCGCCTTGGAAGCCTTATGGTCAGTATGAGCTAGAACTGACTAGTTGGCAGTGAGTTTTACCTTTCTGGACACCTCTTCTTTCCTCCTGACTACCATCTATCCCTGTTACATAACTGACTATAACGTCTCAGTGACCCCGCTGAGCCATATAAAGATATTTTTTGTAATACTTGTAGTCATTATAACTCTTTGACCTAGTTTCAGAGTCTCTTCTGATACCCATTTTGATCTTTCTTTTAGGTATGTTTTTTTGTTTTGTTTTTTAAAATGTCCATTTTACTGTATTTTTCCCAATCCCTATGATTAGTATATATAAATATATATTTTAAAAATGTAATTTTTTTAAAATGACCTAAACTCCTCCAAACACAATTGCTCGGAACTTTTACACTTTGCTCCATTCAATTTTCTCATTGTGCTTAAAACAAATTGTCATTAATTTATAGTAGACACATTGTTGTTGTTGCTGTTTTATGAACTTTTGCTTTTTTCATGTAGGATATTGTTGATGCTTATCATCAGTCATTAGTGTTCAATGCATCAAAGCTATAGCTGGGCTTAAAGAAGTGGAAAAAAAATCAAACCTTGAGTCATAATACTGGAGGATTCTATAGGCAAACTATTTAATAATGTAGGAAAAATCAAAAGAAGATGCAATGGATACATAGTCACTATATTTTAAAAAATTGGTTGACATCAAACCGTTTCAGGAAATAGCATCATTGTCATTAAAAACTAAAGACAGTTAAGGAAGAAATTTAAGCTGCTCAAGGGCTTTGGAGAAAAAGAAGTCTCCAGGAATTGATTGAATACCACTTGACATATTTCAATAAACATATGCAGTCCAGGATATGTTCAAGACATCAGGTCAAGGAATTTGGAAGACAGCTACATAACCAACTGAATGGAAGAGGTTCATATTTGTTCCTATCCCACAAAAAAGATGATCCAACAGAATAAGGAAAATATTAATCCATATAATTAGTATCACATTTAAGTAAAATTTTGTGGAAGATTATTAATAAATAGCCAGAACAGCACATTTGCAGGGAACTGCCAGAAATGTAAGTTGGATTCTGAAGGGTACACAGCATCACTTGGGTCTTGGCTGAAAGCAGAGAATACCAGAATTTTTACTTTGTTTTATTGGCAATGCAAAAGCACTTGACTGAGTGAATCATAAAAAATTATGGCTAACATTGAGAAGAAAGAGAATCCCAGAGCACTTAATTGTGCTCATGTTAAATCTATGTATAGACCAAGAAGCAGTTCTTTGAACAGAACAAGGGAATATTGCAAGCTTTAAAATTAGCAAAAGTGTGTCTCATGATTGTGTCTTTTCTCCATACCTATTCAACATGTATGCTGAGCAAACAATTTGAAAAACTGGACTCTATTAATAATATGGGCTCAGCATTGAAGGAAGATTAATCAATAACCTGCATTACGCAGATGGCATAAGTTTGTATTTTTTAAAGTGAAGATGACTTGAAGCACTTAATAAAGAAGATAAAAGACTTCTTCAACATGGATTATACCTCAATATTAGGAAAGTAAAATTCTTCAACCATTGACCAGGAGGCAAAAATCATTGTAGATAAAGATTAAGGTTGTGAAGGATTTGCTTTTACTTGGATTCATGATCAGCATCCTGGCACTGAACCAGCATTTGGAATGAATAAATGAATAACTATCTATCTTCCTCATCTTCACGCTCCATCGGCTGGATTGAATTTTGCTCTCTGAGTTTACTACAGAAAACCATCCCAAACCCACCGATGTCAAGTCAAGTCACTTCCCTCTCATGAGATCCTCTCTTAACTGTTTCTTTCTTCATTGGAATGATTGATGAATTCCAAGACTTCAGATAGCAGCCCAACATTTAACCCACTACATACATCAATATGCTCCAGTTATTGGTGTTTGCCTTGGAATCAGAACTGACCCATAGCTGACCCGTCAGTGAGTTTTCTGAGGCAGTGATTCCAATAGTGACAACAAATAAAATGGGGGCAGATTGCCCATCCTCCTCCCACAGAGTGTCTAGTGGATTTGAACAGCCTGTCTTGAAGATTGCACCGCAGCTTCTTACCAAGGCCACCAAGTCTTGTTCTCCCTCTTTAGGCTTGTGTTGCTAGTTAATAACAACAACAAAAAACGTAGACTAGGAAGCAGTTAGCAGGTGGTCACATAGATGTTGTTCCAAACCCTATTAGTGGAGCTTATTTATGGGGCCTCTGACTTTTAGGGAAATAAGCTAATACATACTTCTCTTCTTAATGACAGTGTCAGATATGAAGAGCATGGGAGTAGAAGATGTCATTTCTCTGGTCCAAGGTGGCGCTTCTGGCTGGAGTGGTGCCTTGACACAAAACAGCAGCATCATTACATACCGCTTCTGGGGGAGGTCATTAAAGTATAATCCTATTGTTATTGATTTTGAGGTAAGTCTTTTTGCAGTTGAAGAAACTCTATGTCCATGAGGAATGAAAGTGAAGCAGACCAGATCATTTCATATTTCTTATTATGAGTCCATCAAAGAACAAGATTAGATGTAACGGGACGCTGAACCTGTGGGCCTTCCCTATGTCTGACTGTAAGGAGTGTGTGACATTTGATCATAGCCAGAGGAGAACTGGGACCCGAAACTTCAAAGCTAGTTTTACACTCTTAGTCCATCCGGGATTTATTCATGCAAAGTCCATGTCAAACATATAATAATTCACATTTAAATACTTTATTTGAAACCTGGTGGAATAGTGGATTAAACACTGGCCTGAGAGCTGAAAGTCTGACAGTTCGTATCTACCAGTGGATCTTCAGAAGAACAAGAGGGTCTTTTCCTGTAAAGGCCTACACAGCCTAGGAGACCTGAAAGAACATTTCAACTTTGTCCGGTAGCATCCCTGTGAGTAGAATCAGCATGGCAGCAGTAGGTTTTAATGCATTACACTTTATTTATATATTTTATTTAACTATATGTGTACTTTAAGAATTTACTTCTAGGTAAGCATATTAAATATTTATATACTTTAAAAAAATCTCATCTGTTATATCAGGGGTCAGTAATTCTTTTTGTAAAGGGCCAGATGATATTTTAGGCTTTGTGGGCCACATATGGTCTCCATCACACATTCTTTTATTTTTTAACAACTCTTTAAAAATCATAAAAACTGTTCTCACCTCAAAGACCACACAGTGTGGTTTGGACCCAGGCTGAGGTTTGCTCCTCTTGCTCAAAATTATCTAATCTCTTCATCATAAGAATCACTGACAAGGACTTCTTTCTGTCCACTGTAAAGACTAGGAAACAGTGGCCCTGACAGTACAAGGGCTTTGTTTAAGGTTACATAGCACTCATAAGGCAATGCCTTGATTTCAGACTTCTGGTCTTCCAGTCCTATTTTCATTTTCTCTAGCCTAGCTATGACTGAGGCAATGGGCTTGAGTGTGTCAGAGATTTTAAGAATGGCACAGGATAAGATCAGTTGTTCACAGAGTCACTATGAGTTGGACTCATATTACAATAAACAACAACAAGAATGCCTTCTTTTGAGAGCTCTGGTGGCCTAGGTTGTAGACAGTTGTGCTGCTAATTCAAAGGCCATACAGTTCTACAGCAGTTCAAGTCCATCAGAGATTCTGAGGTAGAAAGGTGAGCAATCACTTCCTGTGTGATTTACAACCTCAGGAATGCAATGAGGGAGTCAGCTATGAGTTGTTTTTTGTTCAAAGACAATGAGATTTGTTTAAGGACACTTTGATTAAAGTAATCGTTCTCAACACAGACATTTTGCCTTTAAGGGGAAACGTGGCAATGTGTGGACATAGTTTTGGTGGCCACAACTGGAAGATCGCTATTTGCCTCTAGGGAATACAGGCCAGAGACACTGCAAAATATCCTCTAACACACGACAAACCCTCTGCCCCACTCCAAGTAACAAAGAAATATCTGCCCCAATTATTAATAGTGACAGGGTTAAACAACTCTTCCTTAAATCACTAACCTCATAAATTGTGTTCAAACTGTAAAGGAAATTAATTGTTCTATCACTTGCTAAATGACTTCTATCAATACGTAAGATGATCCCTTTAAATTTGGATTTTCGTCAAAATATTGTCATTCTCACTTTCTCCTTACCTGTCTATTTTTTTTCCTACGTTTTCACAATTCCTGGCATAGATAACATTCTTTCCCTTAAAGCACACACCAGCTGCTAAACCCTGCAAGTGTATTATTAAGCTTTTCCTTCTATAAAGAAAGAGGCCAGATGGGTTAACCTTGATTTCATATCTTTTCCAACAAGCAAGGGAACATTCTTACATGACTGTAATTCACATAGGGCCAAAAAAATTGCTATCACCAAGCTATTAGTGATTGGGACAAAAAGTGCAAAATTTATATCAGGAATGATACCCAAATGTTCTCAGGCAAGAAGTCAATTTAGGTGTTTGTCTTGAACAAAACTTCCAAGGGGAAAACTGAGATTCTCATTCTGAAGAAGAGTGAAAACTTCCTTTTGAGGTGGTCAAGACATAGTTTCGTTCTTGGTTCAAATACATTTTTTATATTTAACTTTGGCCAAACAACTTCCCTCTCTTAGCCTATTTCTACTTTGTAACCAGGGGTTTAATAATATGTTAGTTCATAGGGTTGAGGAGAGAGGAGATCGTAATTAGTAAATTTTACTTAAGGAAACAAGTTCTTCACAGGTTAAGTGACCTACCCAAGATCTCAGGCAAGTGGCAGAAGTCAGCTTGGCTCCTTCAGGGTCACCATGAGTCAGAATAAACTGGTTGCAAGTTGGTGTGGTTTGGTTTTAGATGAAGTTAAATGAATGCAGAAGTCATGTTCTTTTATATCAGAGCATATTTTATGTTGTGATGTCATATTGTTTTGTGTTTGTGTGTGATGACAGAATATGGTATATCATAGTATGTGCTATGAAATGTTTTCATGGTTCCTTATCATGTTTTGCAATGAATTATGTAATGTTTGCTATGTTACATTGTTTTACCATATCAGTTGCCTTCTTTGAACCAGTTTTCTCATCTCTAACATGCTGGTAAGGCAGCTATCAATATCTTTTCAAGCTCTAACATTCTAAGATCCTTTTCTCCACCTCGCTCCCCTCTCAACTCTCCTGCAGTCACTCTGTCCAGGAAAACCTCAGGGTTCTGGGAAGCAGAAGTGAGATGGGGGCCTGAATGCTGAGCCCCATTCAAACATAAAAGGGAACTATCCTGGCAGTCCTAGTCCTCCAGAACTGGAAGTAAGGGTAACCTTTACTCAGGATCAAAGGGCGTCCCACTCTGCTCTGATTCCTGTCAGTGGAGTTCAATATCCTTGAACTTCCAGCTAGTCATCATCTTTCCTTGGCTGGAGGCCTACGCAGTTGTGATTTTCCCTGCCTGATGACTTCAGCTCCAGTCCCTGACTGCAGTCCAGGGTTTGATTGCCACAGATCTTCTGTACACATTTCCAGGAACCACTCATAGCTACTGTGAATGTCCTCTATTAACTCATTTCTGGAGAAATAAGAAAAATTTCGTTGGTGTGGCTCAATCCTAGCACTGACTCATTCTGTGGCCTTGGCAAACATCCCCCATAATTGGGTCTTTTCTGTAAAGTGAGAAATATGTAGAACCACTTTAATTTAATGATTGTGTGTGAAAGTGTGCAGGATTTCCAGAGTGTTAAAGACATTGGTGGTGGTGGTGTTAGATGCTGTCAGATCGAGTACAACTCATAGCGACCCTAGGAGCAACCAATCTGAATATCCTCCTATCCCATGCCATCCTCACAATCTCTGACATATGAAGATAACCATATTTAAATGCAATTGGAAGAATGGGCTTTTGTTTTAAACTTCACCAGTATGTTGTTGTTGTTATGTGCTGTTGAGTTGCTTGTGAATAATTGTGACCCTATGTACAAGAGCCCTAAACTCTACTCTATCCTGTGCCAACCTCATTGTCTCCAACACATCTACTCCCACTATCCCAATCACTGAATCGATTCATCTCATTGAGGGTCTTCCTCTCCTTCGCCGCCCCTCCACTCTCTCAAACATGATGTCCCTCTCCAAGGACTGGTCCCTCCTTGCAACATGCCCAAAGTATGTCAGACGAAGCTTCAGTATCAATCCTGAACTCCCAGGATTATTGTTGTTGTTGTTGTTATGTGCTGTTGAGTCACTTGTGACTCAAAGTGACCCTATGTACAATAGCCCTAAACTGCTCTGTCCTATGCCAATCACACTGTCTCCAATATACCCACCTCGATTACCCCAGTCACTGAATCAATCCACCTCATAGAGGGCCTTCCCCTCCTGCAGTGTCCGTCCACCCTACCAAGCATGATGTCTCTCTCCAAGGACCAGTCCCTCCTTACCACATGTCCAAAGTATGTTAGAAGCCTCAGAATCCTTGTCTCCAATGAGCCGCCCAGTTTAACCCTCTCCAGGATGAATCTGTTTGTTTTCTTAGCAGTCCATGGTACACTCAATACTCTTCTCCAGCACCACAGCTCAAAGGCATCAATTCTCCTTCTATCCTCCCTAGTCATTGACCAACTCTCTGATGCATAACAAGTGACTGCAAAGACCATGGCCTGTATCAGACGCACCTTAATCTCCAGAGAGACAGCATTGCTCTTGAGAACTTTGGAAAGGTCCTAACAGCAGACTTTTCCATCGCAATATGTCTTTTAATTTCCTGGCTACTGGTACCAAGAGTGTTGACTGTGGAGCCAAGCAAATTATAGCTGTGAACAATCTCAATCTCTTCACCATCTGTCCTGATGCTGCCAGTTGGTCCAGTAGAGAGAATCTTTGTCTTCTTGATATTGAGCCTCAATATGGACTCCAAGGATAGCTGATTTTTTAAAAAAAAAAATCATCTTTTATTATAGTTCTTCCCTTTTGCAATGGTTCTTCCCTGTTGGATATAGTTCTTCCTTTTTAAATCTCACATTCATTACTTCTTTCAATCTTCATAAAAAACACAGAAGGAAAGTGATTTTAGAGATAAGGCTTGCTAAAAGAAGGCACCATTAACTGCCCTAAATCACACAGCTACGAAGTGCCAAGAATTTATTTAACTTTTACTATGTGACAGGCACAGTGCTAAGCACTTTCCAGTATGGAACAAAAGCCAGCTGTCTTCTTGATTTGGACACATGGAAATCCTATATATGTCAGAGTAGAACTGTGCTTTGAAATGTCTCAAATACTATTTTTAAGAGATCACCAGGCATTTCTTCCAAGGCACCTCAAAAGGGGCTCAACTCGAGCCTTTAAATTAGCAGTTGAGCATGTTATCGGTTTCCACTACCCAAGGACTCATATTCTAATGCATCACCTCCTTTAATCTTCATGGTAGACTTGGTGGATGCACTGACTGCTCTCAGTCTATAGATGGAGGAATTCCGTGTGTGTAATGTATGTGCTCAGAGAGCTGGAATTTGAAGGCAATTTCATGACTTCAGAGTCAATGCTGTTTCTACAAAATATACTGTTTGTCAACCAGGGAGCATTTGACAATGTTGAAAACATTTTTCACTCTCACAGGTGGCAGAGTGCTACCGGCACCTAATGGGTAGTGTCCAGGGGTACACAGGATAAACCCTTGCTTTCAAAAAGAATCATTTAACCCAAAACGTTAACAGTGCAGCCTGGACTACACTCAGGTCTGGAATGGACGGCTTCATAACTGGCCTCCACACCCACAGCATTGTGAGACCTGCTCGGTGGTTGCAATACATACAACTGACTAACAAGAAATTTGACTTCCATATTAAGGACTGGCAATCCCAAAACATATATAAATGTTATGCTCTCCCTGCTTTCTAAAAAGGACCCTGGTGTCACAGTGCATTAAACACTGTGCTGCTGACTGGAAAGGTTGGTGGTTTGAACTCACAACCAACTCCGATAAAGCTTTGCAGCTTTGGAAATGCTAAGGGGGAATTCTACTCAGTCCTGTGGATTCTTATGAATTGCAATCAACATCAGGGGAACGGTTTATCAGGAGTTTTCTTCCTGAATGAAAGAAACAAGCTAGTTGTGACAGCTTCTAAAGCTCTCCTCTCACCCTGGGTCAGGAAGCACATGGGCTTGAGAGTTGAGTAGGTGTGTGTTGGGGTGGCTTGTGTGCTGAATAATTGTGTGGTCCCAACCAAGTCAACAGAGGCCCTCTGAGCCTCCATTTCTTAATCTGTAAACACACAACAGACTAATGAAGTTGGGAGCCTGGCTCTGTACCTGGCATTAGCTGGCCATCAAGAAGCTTGGGGGCCAGGTCTGGGCCCTGGGAAGGAGGAAGATGTTCAGGACGAATGTCTGTGTTCTTTTTATGTCCTCAGGTGCAGCCCATCTATGAGTTGCTGCGGCGCACGAACTTAGGTCCTCTAGAAGCCAAATCTCAGAACCTGCGCCGAGCCCTCGAGCAGTACCTGATGGAATTTGATGCCTGCCGCTGTGGACCCTGCTTCAACAACGGGGTGCCCATCCTCAAAGACAAGAGCTGCAAGTGTCAGTGCCCCGCAGGTCGTCAAGGCCCTGCCTGTGAGAAAATGGTGCAGGAGGGTGAGTGCCATGTCTCCTCTCTCAGGGTCAGGCCTGGCCTGCTCCACTCCACAGTAGGAAGGGCCTTTGGTATTCCCACCCTGTCTTACTGTGCTGTTCGCCCCCTGCCCTGCTCAGGGATCTTGTACTCTGAATCCTACCAGCAGTCCCAAAATTTAATGGCTCTGGTGTATTCTCCAAGTCATCAAACCCTTCTGTCAGATCGGGACTGTTCCTAACCAGGGCATATACACCAAGTAAGATTTATTGCTGGAGTGACAGGTAGGTGCCATTGTAATATGAAAAGTTATGAATGAAAATAAAGTTGAAGCAAGTAGAGGGTAACCTCATACAGGTGTAGAATGAACCACCTGGCACCAAGAAGACATTTATCAAAAAAGGGTTGAAACATCATCCTTATAGAGGAAGAGCCTGGGGCCTGAATGTGAATCTGGGGCTTTCACTAGCTCATTAAGAGAACCAGAACCATCTTTTTTGATTCACCCTTCTTCTCTAAGCTTCCTTGTGCTCCAAGAACCTTCTTAGAGGTTCCAAACCTCCAATTGTTTAAGTGTGCAAAGCTGTTTGTATCCCATGTATATTCCATTACACGAAAAAAATGGGGAAACCCATACCTAATGGAAAGAAGCTGTGCTGCATTCCCAAAGGCACACAGTTCAAATCCACCAGCTGCACTGTGGGAGATGGGCAACCTCCTCCCATAACAGTTAGTGCCTTTGAAAACCTATCAGAGATTCAGCTATGGGTCAGTTCCAACTCTATGTTACAACACCACCACCAGCACCCAATCAATATTTGAATCAATCTTAGTTGGCTGCTATAATGAGGTAAGAGAGAAAAGAAGGGGAGAGATGGGAAAGGGCAGGGAGGGGGGAGTTGAGAGGTGGGGAATGAGCAGGGGAAGGAAAGAGATGGGAAGCTAGGGGAGGGGAGGGGAAGTGAGAGGGGAAAGATGGGGGAGGAGATGAAGAGGGAGAGGAGGGGGAGAAGGCAGAAGGAGGGGGAGATGGAGAGGGGAGGGAAAGTGAGGGGGAAAGGGGAGGGAAAAGGAAGGAGAAAAAGGAGGGGAGGAGGAGGTGGGGAAAGGGAGGGAAGGGGAAGGGAAGGTTAGGAAAGGAAAGGGTGGATAAATCTAAGATCCTCTTCTTGGGTCTGTAAAAAAACAACTGAAGCAAAAGTTGATAGGATGGGAGGCATGTGACATTAAACAGTGTTTAGTGAGAGTTTATGAAGTAGAAATCAACAGTGGGTTCACACAATTTGATGGGTGAAGGGACTGGTGGGGAAAGGATAGGGGAAAGGAAAAGGTGTGAAAAACAATGTATATGAACTATATAATCTTTGTAAGTAAACTAGTATAAAATAATAAAAAAATTATAACCAGAAAAACAAAAAACAGTGTAATTTGGATGCCCTAAGGCTAGATGAACAGAAATAAAGAATCTAGGACAAGATATATTAAGAATGTTGACCTTTGCTGTGGTGTCTTATTTCATTAAACATTGGAGAACACAAGTGGACAACTGAAAACTCAAACCTCTGCTTAAGGAGGAGTAGCTGGAAGCATTGAGAGTTTTGGGCACAGAGAAGAGAGAACTCAGAAGACCTTGATGTGACCTACTACCATTAAGGTTGTTGTTAGGTACCTTGATTCAACTATAATTCATAGACACCTTATGAACAAAAGCTCTGAACCTTGTTCTAACCTGTGTCATCCTCCCACTTCCTGACACAAAAGAGCCCATTGCAGCACTCACCATGTCAATCCACCTAGTTGAGGGTCTTCCTCTCCTTCTCTGACCACCCACACTTTCCGACATCATGTCCTTCTTTAAGGAATAGCCCCTCCTAGCAACATGCCCAAAGGATGTAAGACGAAGCTTCATCATTCTTGCCTTCAAAGAGCACCCTGGCTGCACCCTCTCCAAGACATACCTTTGTTTGTTCTCTTGACCATCCATGGGATGTTCAGTGCTCTTCTCCAACATCACAACTCAAAGATGTCAATTATTCTTCTATCATTCCTATTCATTGTCCAGCTCTCAGATGCATAGCAAGTGATTGGAAAGACCATGGCCTGAATCAGATGCACCTTAGTCCTCAAATCGACATCATTAATCCTCAATAATTTGGAAAGATCCCTAACTGCAGGTTTTCCCAGAGCAATGAGTTGCCTTATTTCCTGACTGATGGCACCAAGGGTATAATTGTGGATCCAAGCAAGATGAAGCTGTTGACAGTTTCAATCTCCTCTCCATCCAGCATGTCTATTGGTCCAGTGGTAAGAATCTTTGTTTTCTTACTCATTAGGGTTGTTGTTATTGTCTTCATTGCCATTGAGTTGACGGCAACTCATAGCAACTCTATGAACAAAAGACCTAATACCTTTCTATAGCTATTTTGTTTCTTCAAGGTCATAGAGTTTCCAGAGGTATGTGGTTTCGGAAGTGGATATCACTCCTGCTTCTCATTAGGGTAGGAATTTTTTTTTCTTTTTTTTTTTTTAAATTTTGTGTGACCACTGAGCTTAAGTTGTGGGACTAGTGGAGAGAAGCTATAAGAAAGGTATTTTGGCTTAGTGAGGAAGAGCTTTCTCCTGGATTATAATGTGAGGATGGAAGGTTGAGCAAAGAGGCTATCTGACCACTTGTAAGGAAATAAAATAAAATATTCATTCTTCTAATGAATAACAATGAATGGATAAGTCTAATGAATGAACAAGTCTCCAAGTCCAATCCACCCAAAGTCTCTGAGTAGATGACTAAACCAGAGGAATACAACACAATGAGCAGTTAGATATCAATTTCTTTAGGATTCATAAAAGATTTCCACTAGCAGGCCTACCTTTAGATGAGATGAACGAAACCAAAACCCAGGGCCAAAAGTAACTCATAGTGACTCTTCACTGGGTTTCTGAGACTATGAATCTCCATGAGAGGAGACTGACCATCTTTCTCCCTGGGATCAGCTGTTAGATTCTAACTCCTGACCTTTGGGCTAGCAGCACAACACTCTATGCTCTATGCCACCAGTACTCCTTTTAAATGAGATTATTATAGCTTATTAGGGAGCTCTGCTGGCAAGAAGCTGCACTGCAATCATGAAGGCACAAGGTTCGAGGCCATCAATCACTCTGTGAGTGAAGGATGGCCAATCTCCTCCTGTGTGATTAACTGTCTCTGAAAACCCACTGACCATAGGATCAGCTAGGGGTCAGTTCTGACTCTACAGTACACAAAAACAACAACTTGGTTTGTTACAATAAATTCTGAATATAAGATGCATGAGTTATCACCTTAGACATACCTTTGACTCTCAATCCTGCCGATTTTTATCATGGATGTATCCTGTAAAAATGAGATGTTATCATTATCTTTCTCAGAGGATTGGATGGATGATTAAACTAGATAACATATGTGGCAGACTCTAGTATAACAAACAAGAGGAATGTCCCACTGATGAAGAATTTGCCTTTGGTTGGCACTTTATCTAAATTCTTCCTTGAGAGTCCAAAGACTATACAACAATTTGTATTATGCTGAAAGTGAGGACAACGTGAAATGCTTGCTACAGAAGCTCGAGGACTATTAGCATTTCATATGGATTACATTGCATTGCCAAGAAAATAAAAGTTCTCACCACCACGTTTAACAGGCAGCATTATGATAGTTGAAGAAAGAATTGAAGTTGTCAATGATTTCATCTTAGTTGGATCAACAATGAACACTGCTGTTACCAGCAGTCAGGAGATCAGGAGACATATTACATTGGGAAAGTCCACTGTTAGGGACCTCTCAAAAATACTGAAGGGCGATAGTATCAGATTGAAAATGAAGATGTGCCTGATTCAGGCCATAGTCTTTTTAATCACTTGCTACACATTTGAGAGCTGGACAATGAATAAGGATGATAGAGGAAAAATTGATGCCTTCAAGTTGTGATACTAGAGAAGAGTATTGAATATCTTTTGGACTGCTAAAAGAACAAACATATATGTCTTGGGCAAAGGGAAACCAGAGAAATAATTCTTGGAGGCAAAGAGGGGGGAAGTTCGTCTTTCCTACTTTAGACGTATTGCTAGGAAAGACTCTTCCTTGGAAAGGAGCATCATGCTTGGAAAGGTGGAGGGTCAGCCAGTGAGAGGAAAGGCCCTCAGTGAGATGGATTGAAACAGTGACTGCAGCAATAAGATCAAGTGTGTCAGAGATGATGAGGATGGCACAGGGTAGGATAGATTTCAGTCTTATTGTTCATACGATCAATCTGAGTTGTACTCAAATTGATGGCACCTAACAACAATAAGCCAAAAGAAGTGCAAAATGAGTCCCAGCAAAGCTTCCTGACATTACAGAGGAGGACTTCAGATAGAGGTGAGCCATGAAGGTAGGTCAGGAAAACAAAAAGCAAGAGGCCTACCAAAATACCAAAGTGACCAACTACCAGACTCGGTCCTGGCACGGGCTTTTATGTGAACTGAGAAAAGGCACTGCCTTAAAGGTGCTTGAATTGGGAGGAAAAAGCTACTCTGAGTTTGTGTAGCCCAATCCCAAGGTCAAGAACTTCCAAAATAGAATGTGGACTAGATTTCAGGCCTCATGCACCCCAGCCAGATATCTCTGCCATAAGGAATAAGGGTCTCTGAACAAGAATCAAAACTAGCCTTGATTTACTGCCAAGCACTGCTTCAACATTTCACTTACACACACACACACACACACACACACACATTTATTCCCTTATGAAGTTAACAATGATGTCATCCCATTTTACATATAAGCAGACTGAGGCAGGTAGGTTAGATAGCTTGCTTAACGTCTTCTATCTGGGGAATACCAAACCAGGATTTGGACCCCAAATTTCTGATGCCAATAACCAACTCTTAACCAATGCATGCTACTGATTCACATTCTTGTGGAGGCAAGCGTCGGGAAATGTTTAGGAATCAGAGTGGAGAGTCCAAGACAATTGCAATGATTATTATTGTACATAGTGAAGAAAAGGGTCAATTCACAGTTGGTAGTTATCTGCTCAGGCTGAAATAAAGAGAGTGAGGAGGAGCATGTTTCTAGTTTATGGTTGCTAGCACAGTCTGTCTTCAAAGGATAGATGGCAGTCCTGCATGGATAGCTGTAATTTGATTCCTTTACAAGCCCTCAGATGGACTGGCTTGGGTTCATATCACATAGAAATGGAGAGAACAGAGAGTGTGGGGTACAGAAATGCTCCTTCAATGATCTAATGTGTACCGCAGTGATGACCATGTTGGGTCACATGCATACATGGTGGGCACTGGAAAAGGAAGAGATGCTTCTCACAGTAGAGCACCGGTTAGGGGCAGACTACTAGACCCTCCTGCTTGCAGCCTCGTTTCTCTTGCAAGACTATACTTAGGCAGCAGCTGGCATCTCACAGTGTTCCAACCCAATTGCTCCAGGCAGTCTAAGGACAGTAGGTGGCCATGGGGCCATCACATTGAACTTGCAGTCTGACAGGAGATCATGTTGACAAAATAAATAAATAAAAATCCAAGGCTAGGGAGTTAGTCAGTCACCATGAGCATCCATTAGCATGGGTCTCTGGGTATTTTCACAGCAAACATTTGCCTATGGGGATCAGAGTCACAGAGATGGGAGAAACAGAGACAGAGAGCCCTGCTGTGGATGTCCCATCAGGGAGTATAATTACCGAGTTGGAAGGCGCTTGGAGATAAACTAATCCAGTGATATTCACACTGTGATCTGAGGAGCCTAGAGGTTTTAGAGGCTGCCCCAAGGGATGGGGCAAGCCTGATAAATACCCCATCTTCAAACAAAACAGTGCCACTTTCATCTGACTTCAATGCTGGGGTCCATGTAGGATTTCATTTGGGAAACCATAGTGATAAATAATAATACTACTAGAAAAACTATTGGTCCATCCTATATTACAGAGGTGAAAACAAACTTAGAGATGCTAGTTTTGCCCAGCATCTCAAAGCCTGGAAGAGATGGCAGCCCAGGGCTAGGGAGGTACATGAGCTGGGTTCCTGCGGTACCACATTTCCAGGGTTAGCACTTGAGGCCTCACCTTTCCTTATGTCCTGTGCAAAGACTCTCTCACTGTTGTTAGTGATGTTAGTGGCCTGGTGTCACTGCCCGAGGAAGCTCTATTTGCAACTGTCATACAAACCCAGTAAGCCTCTTTGCAGAGGCATATGCTCAACCCTTTCCTCTAATTCCCAAGTTAGATGGATTTCATGTTCTTTCCACCTTCTAGTGAGTCCCTGTCATTCCTCCCAGGGGGTTACCTCCTTGCCTTACTCTGCTATCCATCTTCCATGGAACCACAGATTCCAACTTTTAAGAAATGGGCTTCCAGTGGTCTCACTCCATCCAGAGTTTCATATTAAGTGCAAGGCACTGAGCCCAGAGATCCCAGTGGGCTATACCAAGGGGTTGCAGGCCACTCAAGGGCAATGGGGTGGCTTCCCTCCCTGCATGCAGTCCTGCTTTTTTAGCATATAAGCACCTACACACCCACGCCTTCTCCTTGTACGCTAACTTCCTCCTTTCCTGGGAAATTATCTCTGCAGGAGCCAAGGCAGATGGTCGCTGGAGCTGCTGGAGCTCTTGGTCTGCATGCAGCGCAGGCACTCAGGAAAGGAGGAGGGAGTGTAATAACCCTGCACCAAAGAACGGAGGAGCCACTTGTCCAGGGAAGAAAACGCAGACCCAGGCTTGCTGAGGGCCTCTCCGATGTCAACACCTGCACTGGCTGCTGGTCAAAGACTTCTTCATGGAAAGAATATGCAAATCAGCATAGACCGTTTTTTATTGTCCTCTCAACTCACTTACGTAAGAGTAGGCCCTGTCACCCACAGTCACAAAAATTCAACCATATGTCCAACAACTGGATGTCAAGTGTTAACCAAAGGCTCGGCTTGTTTGTGGAACTTCAGAGCAACTAACAGAGAAAACTGAAAAGGTCTTTTCAGGGACCTTATAGACTATTATAGAGAAAAGACAGACCCTCTTGGAATAGTCAATGTTCAATAAAACAAAATATGATTAAAATCACGTTAGTTCTTTGATGATATTTGTTCGATTGTGGTTGTTGGTTGGCTCTATTGAGTAGACAGACTCCTAGCAGCCTGTGAACACCAGGTCTGAACCTTGCCCTATCCTGTGCTGTCCTCACAAACTCTGCCATGCTGCAGTATTATTATAGTCATTGGGTCAGTCTATCTTATTGAGACTTTTCCTCTCTTTCTCTGACCCTTCCTCCACCTTTCCCAGTATGATTTCTTTTCCCAAGTATTGAACTTTCCTGACAACACAGTTTGTGAGATAAAGTTTCACTGTCCTTGCCTTGAAGAAACACCTTGTACTTCCTACAAGATAGACTCATTTGTTCTTTCGGCAGTCTATGGGATATGAAATGTCTTTCTACAACGGTATAATCCAAAGGCATTGATTCATTGGTCTTCTTTATTTATTGTTCAATTTTCAGATGTATGCAAAACCATTTCAAAAATGGACTTGATGCTTTGAATGACTAGTAATCGGTAGTCAAAGGCCAGCTCAAACGAAATCTATTGCTGTCTAACAGTCCTACTCAATCAATGCCGTCAAGTCAATCCCAGTTCATACGAACACTCCATTGGGTTTCAGAGGCTGTAAATCCCAAGGGGAGGAGATTGTTCACCTTTCTCATAAGGAACGGCAGGGGGGTTTGAACTGCCAGAGATGATTCAGTCTTTTGGTTATTAGCACAATACCCTTGTGTACTAGACTCCCCAGAACCTCTACAGAACTAACTAAAATTGCTCTATAGTGTTTCCAAGGCTGTAATCCTTATGAATCCAGTCTTTCACATCTTTCTCCCAGGGAGCTGCTGGTTTCCACCAACTGAGCACTTACGTCCTGAAGCCCTGCAGTTCCTAGAATATGACAATACATTGAGATTTTAAAAACTCCAATATTTACTTGAGTTCTTTCAATTTCCTTTCATTTGTACTATCCATTTTCTTCTTTCTATTAATCTCTCCTATTTGCTTGAGTTCTTAACTCAAATATCACATTTTTCTCATTTTTAAGAATTAACTCTTTCCTTATATCTTTCATAATTAGTGTTTATATGTTTAGTCCCATGATAATTTATGATCTTCTTCTCAATAGATGGTAATCATGAGAACAGCGGCCAGCTGTGTTTTGTTCAGTTCTGTACCCCAAAGGGCCAGCCCTGAGGTTCCGATGTAGTAAGGAACCTGCCAAGCCCTGGGTGAAATAACAAGAGTGCTATTAAATTGAGGGGATTGCAATTAGTATGATGAAACAAATTGTGTGTAAATTATTTCATGGAAAGCTAATTTGTCCATTAACTCTCAACCAAATTACAATAAATTACCCAAAATAAAACAGTTGTCCAAATTAATGAATGACTGAATGAAGAAGTCTGCTCAAAAATTCAAGGTACATATTGATAATCCTTCCTGAGTGGAAAGGGGATTTGCAGGGGCCAACCTAAGTGAAGTACTGCATCAGGTCTGATTCTCCAGTCTATGAATCTAATGTCATTTATCCTTGGTGTCCTCTCTCAGCACTCCAGTCACACTTCAGATGGAGAGTATGCCCTGAAAGTCCTGTTTACCTATCACCTTCTTCTGTTAGACTGTGAGCTTCCTGAAGATGGAATTGCTGTTTTGTACATAGTCAAATCAGAACCAACTCATGGCTGACTCTTCAGTGAGTTTTCAGAGGTGGTAAATTGCACAGAAGGAGATTGTCCACCTTGCCCCTGCAGAGCAAATGATGATTCGAACTACGTACCTCTGTGGAGCAGCACAGTTCCTTACCAGTAAGCCACCAGAGCTCTCTGAAGACAGAATTTAATTACCAATAAATACTAAACACACTGTCACTGAACTGATTCTGACTCATCACAATTTTCCATCCAGTTTGCAAGGCTAAACATTTCTTTAGGAGGAGACTGCCTGTCTTTTCTATGCAGAGAAACGGGTGGTTTCGAACAGTTGCCCTTTCACTTAGGAGTGCAACACATAATACCTTACACCACCTTACTCTGGCAGAGTGGCTGGTGGATTTGAGTCACCAGAGCAGCACCATATTTGAGTTAGCAGTGCAACTCCCTGTGCATCAATTCAGCAATTAATTCCGCACGGCCCTGAAACCTCCTATAGTTGTTTCACGTAACACTCACTACCATCGGGTCCATTCAACTCAGAGCAATCCTCCATCCAGTTTCCAAGCCTGTAAATCTTCCCAGAAGAGACTCCTCATCTTTCTCCCGAGTTTTATATTGTTGCTAGGTGCCATCGAGTTGAGTATGACTGATACTAGAAACAGCCGACCTGCACTTTACCCTGTCCTATGCCATCCTCATTGTCTCTGACACACTGGAGCGCAGTGTTGAAGTCACTGTGTCAATGCATCTCATTGGGTGTCATCCTCTCCTTTGCTGACTCTCCGTCTTTCCAAGTATGATGTCCCTTTCCAAGGACGAGCTTTGCCTAGTTACATGTCCAAAGTATGAAAGATGCAGCTTCACCATCCTTGCCTCCAAGAAGCACTCTGGCTGTTCTCTTTCCAAGCTGTATCATGGAAATATCATGCACTACTTAGCACTCTTCTCATGTTTGTTTTTGGGGGGTTAGTATTTATTGGGTAGGGAGAAAAATGTGCAATAATGAATGAATGAAAATCCAACTTACTGTAGACTTTCGTTAAAATGGCAATTTAAAAAAGGAAGATAAAAAAGACATCATGCTGAGAAAGGTGTAGAGTCAGATAAAGAAAAGAAGACACTCAACAAGATAGACCAACGCATAGACTAAACCAATAGGCTTGAGGATATGACAGTGTAAAATTTCATAGGGTGGTTGTTGTTGTTCACAGGGTTACTGCAAGTGAAATTTGACTTGAGGATACGTAATAATGACATTGTAGGAACAGATGTATACAATAAGGCCTTAAACACATTTGCAAATGTGCAAAATACACACACACACACACACACACACACACACACCTTATTTTCTATATTACCTATCAGTAATTTTCGGAGCAGGGAAGAGGGTAGAAACCAGAGGCAAGAATTCTCTGTAGGAGGTAAGTGTGGAGCCCTCTGACAGTAAGTAATCTTCTGATTCAGCTGCACACTCCAGTGACCTTCCGTGAGCCCAAGCCGCTGGCCAAGCAAAGCCATCTTCTGTCATTTGAGGCACCAAACCTGAGCCAGTGTTTGTCCCAGGCCTCGAAAAATGCTACATCCCTAGTGGTTTTAAAAATTAAAGTACCGTGGCTGTGGCTATTTCAAAAGCAGCAAAGCATTTACCAGATCAGTGCCTCTCCCTCTTCAAGAATGACTGGCTCCCACAAAGCAAAAGGCATAAAACTCGTCAAATGTATTTTCCCTTAGGTCCTTTAGGGAGATCTATAATCTAAGCTTTTATAGGTAGTGGATGTAAAAACATGGTTTAAAGATATAATCTTCAGCTTGACAAGATGTCCTTTGAAAAGTAAATTAATGGCAGAATGAAAAGCAATAAGGGAGGCTTTTTTCTCCTTTTTTCTTCTTTGAGATATAGGAAGATCTAAAGCGTTCAGAAATACAGCACTCAATGAATCTCTTCTGAACTACATGCCTTTAGGGTGAAGAAAATGGACAGAGAGAAAGGGTAGGCTTCAAAATCCACATTGCAGAAATGAGAGATGACAGAGTGAAACCACTGCCCGCCTCTACTTTTGAGGAAGGGAACGATGCAGTGTGAATTTGGTAAGGGACTCTGCTCTTTCATGAAGAAAATACAGGGTGCCGTCCCTTAACTGCACCAATGGACTAAATATTCTTGGTGATCTTTCAGCCAGGATCTGTGCTCGGTGCTGAAGGTATAGAAATTAATCAGAACATGCCCAGCCCTTAAAAAGGTGAAGTCTAACAGTGCAGATTTTGGAGGGGAACAGTAGATCCGGTACAGTAAAATACACAGGGGGTTGTAGGACTCACGCTTTACATGAAGCAGGGAAGACAGCTTGAAGGAGAAGACTGGCAGAGTTTAGAGCAATGAGTGAGAATTAGAAAAGCAAAGAAAAATGAAGGAGGGATGGGACACGGTGATGGCAGAGGACACACAGGTTATTGTTTTTGTTTAGTGCTTTCAAGACATTTCTGACTCACAGCAGCCATAGGCCAACCAATTGAAGCCCTGGCCAATCCTGTGACATCTTCACAACCTCTTCTGGGCTTAAAGAAGTAGGTCCAAGCTACCAGAAGAAGGAAACTGGAAGCTGGAATTTTTTTTTTCTAAGCTGTCTTTGCTTTGTCTTCTGATTCCGGGTGACTCTATCATGTACAATGGATCAGAACCCCTGTGATCCAGAAGAGTTTCATGTGCTGATTTTGGGCAGTGGATTGTCAGGCTTTCTTTCCTAGTCTTTCAGAGTTGAGAAACTTATCTGAAATTTGTTCAATATCATAGCAACATGCAAGCTTTCAGCTACAAGTCGTGGCTGCAAATTCAAGTGCATTGGCTGAAAATTAAAGCAGCCACTCACATAAGATGACAATTCTGCTTTTTAGCTACCAATGATAGCTAGCTAGGAATGGAACCATTAAGGTGAGCTGGCAAGGGTGGTGGCACAGTTGTCTTGCCTAGTGTTGCTCACTCTCCTCAGCTTGGGGGTAACGGAGTTTTGAGCTTTGATTTCATCACTGTGTCCATACTT